TTTCAGATTCGGGTTTTCCCAGATGTGCCAATATGACATCTCTAATAAAATGGAACTTTGCTCAGGCTTTGGAGTCTTCTTTCGTTGGGAGTGTTACTTTGAACCCTGACACTGCCCCTCCTTTCTCTTCAGTCAAAAGAAGTGGATTTTTATGTAAAGGACTGGAAGCCATACTGAAACAATTTTAAAGAGGTTAAAAATTAGATTTAAAAAACAATCCTTTTATCTCCATCCCATATATTGAAATAATTTTTTCCCTCATAAAACCAATGGCTATTTTTCCCCGTTGTTCTTGTTCAGTGCTAGGTGTGTCCACAACAGGGGTGGGTTTCAACCGGTTCGCGGCGGTCCCTGCTAACCGGTTGGTTGCCGAACCCGGTAGTAAGCAACTTCCGGGAACGGCGAAGGGCGCACCCGCCCACCCGCGGTCCTTACCCGGTTTTGACGAGTTCTGCGCTTTCACGCATGCGCAGGACACATACAGCACCTGCGCGATCGTCCAGGAGCAGCTGGAGCGTCGCGCAGAGGCTAGTACGCATGCGTGTACTGCGCGCGTGCACGAGGACGCCGCCGGCCCCGTTCCAACCGGTTCGGTTGGAACAGGGCCGGCGGCGTCCTCGTGCACGCGCGCGGTGCACGCATGCGTACTAGCATCTGCGTGACGCTCCAGTTGCTCCTGGATGATCATGCAGGCGCTGTATGCGTCCTGTGCATGCGTGGAAGCGCAGAACTCGTCAAAACCGGGTAAGGACCGCGGGCGGGCGGGTGCGCCCTTCGCCGTTCCCGGAAGTTACTTACTTCCGGGTTCGGCGACCAACCGGTTCACAGGGACCGCCGCAAACTGGTTGAAACCCACCCCTGGAACCATCAGAGAAGAGAAGCAGGAGCCCCAGTGTCTCAACAGCCAGAGAAAGAACCTTAGCAAGGATTTGTCTTAATGGATTAGACTATTAAAAGTAGCAATGAGAAGTTTGTATCTTAAGACTTGTAAGGTTCTGTTAATGTAGTCTTATAATAAAGTAGAATTAGCTCGTCTAGTTGATTTTCCTGTCTGATTTACTTGAGATTGTTGACTGATATAAACACAGAGGTAGTTTTTTGGACCAGTATCAGTTGCAATAAAATGAATCACATGCATACCAAAACTGGGAGACTGTAAATTCTAGCAAAATGTTTTCAAGGGGAAAAAAAGAAAAGAAAATCCAGTTGCTTTTTGGAAAAACACCTTTGGGTCCTCCTTTGAGTTTGCATTCTTCCATTGTGATCAGAAGATTGCAGCAACCCACTTCCAAAATTAAAATATTTCAAATCTGAAACATTTTACTCACCCCTACTTTAAACCATGAGCTTGTCGTACTTGAGTACATTAAGTGTATGTCAACAAAAGGACTTAACGTATAGGCACTCATTTTGATTGGAAGGAAGGAAGGGAGGAAGGGAGGGAGAAAGGAAAGAAGTGTTAAAAGACAATCTCTCTTAGATTGCTTAACATCAAACAGATATGTCATTTATATAAAGACTGCAGGCAAATTTGTTCATGCAGTGTATTACAATGGTGCTTAAACTAAAGATACAAAAGAGCAGGTGATCAATATGATTACATTTTGATTGATCTTTATTATAAAATACAGATTATTAGGCACAAGGTTTCAGGCCAAGATTTTCCATGTGCAGTCCCTGTGCTTTGCTAATAGACCACTTGTGGTTATATAAACTTCCATGCGTAAGTTCCAAATGAATAAAAATGAATGACATTTCCCATGCTGATAAAGTTTGTCAGGATAGGGGGAGAAGAGAGAGTTATTTGTCATACTAATAATGATTATCAAATGAGTGAACAGATGTAGACTATAAAAAAAGCAAGCTTTGTCATAAAAACTGGTTCCTGCAGTTTTCTTGGCAAGATCTCAGAAGTGGTCTGGAGGAATGTGCCTGACTCCTGGTTACCATCCTGGTGCCTTAACAATTACCACACTTTCTGTCTGTCTGTCTCTCTGCCTGTGTCTCTGTGTTTCCTATTTTAAAATATATAAGACAGAGCCGTGGTGGTGTAGTAGTTAGAATGTAGTACTACAAGTTACTTCTGCTGATCATCAGCTGCCAGCAGTTTGGCAGATTGAATCTCACCAGGCTCAAGGTTGACTCAGCCTGCCATCCTTCCAAGGTGGGTAAAATGAGGACCCAGATTGTTGGGAGTTTTTACAACCCCTGGTAAGCCCCAATTATGGGAGGAAGCTAACTGCTTCCATCATCTGTCTATCGGCTCGTCACAAGAGTCCATCACGACAGAAACCCAATATTTTTTTACTGTTGCCTTTGTTATATTTGTGTTCTTTTTATTTGTGCTGATAAATAAATAAATAAATAAATAAA